AGATCGTCCAGGCGCGCGACGCGGGGCGCCGCGGTGACATGCACTGAGCAGCGGCGGAGGAGCTTGCGAGGCTCGCACAGCAGCATCACGAAGGCTGCCTTCTTATCCGCTTCGGGCGGCAGCCGCCCCTGCACGCCGAACGCCGACAGCAGCTCCTGCCAAACGCTGCTCGTCCTGTCAATTCCATCGACTGCATCGCGCCACAACTTGCAGACGCGGCGGAGCGCAAAGAGGAGAGTGGGAGAGGCCGACACGCGCGCCACGACGGGGAGAATGTCCACATCGATGACGTCCAGAGCGAGCAGCGGCTCACGATCGGGCTCGGCGGACATCAGAGGGTGAACCAGGGCTCGCACCTCACCTACCGCCGCGCCTAATAAATAAAATAAATACAACGGAGATCCCAAGCTAGGGCTGGGTCGAGGACAGACACGTCCCCACCTTTGCAGGATTTTGCAAAAGCGAGGGGGGAGGGCGCATCGCCGCGCGGAGAGGGCTGGGCACAGGGCACAGGGGATCTCTCTCGCATAGGATACGCACTCGGCGGCACGAGGGCAAGGCTGGGCGTCCTATGTTTGTGCTACCGCCGCGCCTGCCGCGCCGAGAGGCGCGCACATTTTTCTTGAGATCCCTTTCTAGCTCGATTGGGTCGATTCCGCGCTGTCCGGCGTCCACCCATACCGCGTTGGTGTCCAGTCCGAGCCTGGCTGTTCTTCACCTTTCTACCTACCTACCTACCTCCGCGTGGTACGGGACCCCTCGCTGCCGGCGAATCTACGTGCTAAATTTGCGCTAAAGTTGTGCTAAATTTGCGCTAAAGTTGTGCTAAATTCGCGCTAAATTCGCGCTAAAGTGCACTAAAGAGGCAGTAGATAAACACTTCACACCGCACTAAATTTAGACCCAAGCGCCCTTCCACACTCTAACTCGACGTCACTAACTACCGCCAGACAGCCCCTCCCGACGGAGACGCCCTGTGGGCTCTGCCTGCGCTCGGCACCGGGCACCGCCTCGGTAGCTTCCGCCGCTTCGCCTTCGTCTCCTTGCTGCGCAGCAGGGTGTAGTTCGGGCCCACCTCCGCCACGCTGTCCAGCACGTGGACGGCGCTCGCCATCTCGACCGCGTCGTCCTCCGGCGGAAGCTCCGCGTCGCCCGCGGCCGCTTCCCGAGCGCGCTCGTCGCGCATCCGCTCGTGGTGGGCCTGCCGACGCGCCACGCCGGCGCCCGAGGCCCGTGTGCCTCGCCGCCGCGTCCGGCGACGGCATCAGTGCTGTCCGCCTGAGCGTGACTCGCCAGACGCCACTCCACGACCTCCACGACCTCCACGACCGCCGAAAGGTTCGCCCACTCGCTCTGCCCCAAACCTAAATCCTCTCTCTTTGTACATACATACAAAACAACGTGAACACGTGAACAGCCGGGCTCCAGGGGGACCAGGCCCCAAAAACGTGACGTGTGAGTGTTATAGACGGTTGTTTGGTATTGCTAAAAATCTCTCTACAATACGCACACAACGAAGATTGCTACGATAAAAAAACAGCGCTACCGCCGCTTGCCCGGCTTCAGCCGCACCACCTCGTCCACGTAGCGCACGCCCTTGCCCTTGTACGCGTCGGGCGGGCGGAACCTCCGGATCTGCGCCGCCACCATCCCGACCTGCCGCTTGCGGAAGCCAAAGACGGCGATCGTGGTCTGCGTCGGGCACGAGATCTCGATGCCCGGCGGGACGGGCAGCTGCAGCTCGTTGGTGAAGCCCAGCCGCAGCACCAGCGTCTCGACCGGGTACAGGGCGCCGTCCGCCTTTTCGATCCGCGCGCGGAAGCCGACGCCCTGCAGCTCGAGGTCCTTGCGGAAGCCCTGCGAGACGCCGCGCACGGCGTTGGCGATGTACGACTTTGTCGTCCCCCACATCGTCTTGCCCAGCCGTGTCGTGCCGCCGCACTTTGCGCTGACTTGCAGCGTCTCGGCGTCCGGCTGCGCCACGTCCACGAACGAGTGCACCGGGACGGCGATCTCGCCCAGGGGGCCGTTCACGACCACGCGGTGCGGCGTGCCGAACGCCTGGAACGAGTCTTTGTCTGGCCGCCGCTTCATCATCTGCCGCAGCCGGTGCGCAGTCGGCGGCTTGATCGGGTGCAGCGAGCCGGCCGCGTACGGCTCGACCCGGACGCTGACCGCCTCGGGCAGCTTGACCGGGACGCGCCCGATCCTCGACATGCAGCGGACGCGGCCGTGCGACAGCCCGAGGGCCCCGCGCGCGGAGCGGAGCAGCATGGTGCCGCGCACAGGCGTCGGAACGCGACGAGAGACTCCCTCGGCGTCCGAGAAGAGTGCAGAAAGAATGTGTGAGAGTGCGTGTCGTGTTCATGTCTGGTGTTCATTATAGCTCCGAGTAGAGGGGGCGGTCTGCTGCTAGGGGAAACCCGGAGCGCGGAGCCAACCCTCGGAGACCCGTGTTTACTTTAAGGCCCTTTCCCTGCGAACGCGCACCCCCGGGGCTAGGGCTCTCTAGCCCGTAACCCGATCCCGATCATCCGGCCCGCTGGGTGCGCTTCTGAGCTCCCCGGCCCTGGATGTGAGGTTAATGACTGCACTCCAAGTGCTCCAAGTGCTCCAAGAATTCAAGAAACAACTATATGGCACAGCACACAGGTTCGACACAGGAAGAATTTTCACACGCCGCGTGTGCACCTTGCTCATCCATGGCAAGCAGTGGGCGTCAGAAGACTCGTCCTTGCTCGAGGAGAGCTCGATAGACTCGAGGGGCCAGGATATGCAGCAAGGAGGGCAGAGCTGCGCCGAGCAGCGAGAGCAAGGGAGCGGCAGGCGGCGGCGCCGTCGCAGGACGAGGCAGAGGAGAGCGACGCGACAGAGGAAGAAGCGACAAGGGAGACCACGACGAGAAGGGGGCGACCGCGAGGTGGCACGAAGGTTGAAGCGAGAAAGAGAATTTTGCTCTGCACAGTGCTCCCCATGTGTTCTCGAGGCGTGCCGTCCTCCCATCCCTCCCTTGGGTTGTCTGTTTTCTTTCTTTCTTTCTGTGTTCTCGAGGTTCTCGAGGTGGATATCCTTTGGCCGCGTTGGGTAGCGAATGTGTGTGTGTCGTGCCAGTGTCTGGTGTCTGCTAGCTCCGAGTAGAGGGGGCGTTCCGCTGCTAGGGGAAACCCGGAGCGCGGTACTAGCCGCCTCGCGCCTCCGGTGACCCGTGATTATTTACTTTATGGCCCCTTCCCTGCGAACGTGCACCCCCCAGGGCTAGGGCTTTCTTGCCCGCAACCCGATGCCAATCATCCGGCCCGCTGGGTGCGCTTCTCAGCTCCCCCAGCCCTGGGTGTGCGGTTGATAACTGCACTGAGGACTCCAAGTGCTCCAAGTTGCTCCTCTCACGACACTGGGAAAGATGATTGCCTTCCTAACTTCGAGCGGATAGAATTTGCCACAGGCTCAGGAAGAGAGGTTTCCCAGTCGTGCGAGGAAAGAGAATTCAACCATGGCGGGGTCTCTCTCACCGACACAGGTTCGAAAAAGGTACCAAAACTATCTAAAACTCCCAAAAAGGAGCACAGCGAGGAAAGAGATTTTAGGGATCGAAAGAGAAGCGGCCGTGATAATACGCCCACCTAACGCTCTCTCTCTCTCTCTCTCTCTCTCTCTCTCTCTCTCCCTCTCTCTCTCTCTCACACACACACACACACACACACACACACACACACACACACACACACACACACACACACACACACACACACACACACACACACACACACACACACACATGACAAGTGATCGGCAGCGTCGGTGGGAATATAGGGTACCGGTAGAGAGGCCGGGGGCCCGTCCACGCCCCCCCCGGGGGCAACTATAGGCGACACCGGCACCCCCCACTGTGGTGTCGAATGTAAGAGGCCGTCTGCGGCTTGCTTGTTCTTGGCTTCCTATATAGGGATGCTTTCACGGGCGGGAGTGAACCAGCGCGGAGTGACAAGCCATGGACAAGCCGAGAGGCGAGAGAAAAGAAGAAGCGCGCCCGTTAGCGCGAGCGAGAGGGTTTCACAGTCGAAGTGTGGCGTCGGAGACTCCGAAAATCAGAGCAAGCCCCCGCGCCTTCCTCAGAGAGAGAGTTTGTGTTGTTCCTCAGTACAGAGCTCAGACCTCAGTGAGGCTTCACCGTCAGGCTCCAGGCCACCAGACAACCAAAACAAACCGTTCATGTACCGTTGGCACCGAACGATTGCCAACATGCAGCAGGCGCTAGCCCGCGATATCGCGGAGTGCGGAGACACCGTCGGAGACGACGCGCTAGACGCAGTCAAGACGATAGACGTGGATCAAGGAACGACGAGACGACAAGACAAAGACGGACGTCAAGTACGAGGGCGCCCTCTCTCCCCTTTGCAACTTAGAGGATGCCAGTGAGGGAGGGCGAGACGATCGAGGGGTCCCGTACCATGCGGAATCGACCCTTGTATCAAGTGCTCAAGTGCGCTCAAGAGGATGCCTACGCTAGGAGGATGCCGACGACCGACGACATTATTGTTTTGGCATCCTCACCACCTCAGATCCTTAACGCTTAGTAAGCAGAGACCAAGCGCAGCGACGCCAACATCGGCTCGCCGAAAAGAAGTACATGAGGCAAGGCACACTAAGCAGATCAAGCTTCGAGGCAGACGACATGGCCGGCTCGCTCAAGGGGATGGACCAGAAAGGATCCATGCTGCTATGTATGACCCAATTAATTGGTACGCTCAATGCCAGCTCATGAGCTCAATGCGCGCCTACTTGTGTTGGTTGGTGTTGGTGTGTTGGAGAGAGTTTGTGTTGTTGTGTTGGTGGCGTCGCCCGCCACTGCAGCCATGGATGATGCGTGTGGTTGGTGGACGAACGAACGAACGACAAACAACAAAGGAAGAGGCGCTCGCTCGCCGACGCCGCCCCACATACACCGCCCGGTCCGTGTTTCTCGAGTAGCACATTGGCGCAGATTTCTCACCCTGGCTCAACGCCGTTTGTTGTGCCGGTGATTGCCCTTGTGGGCGCAGCCGCCGCGATGCGGTCCGCCCTGCTGCGGTCGCGTGGCCTGCTGCCCGGGCTGGCCTCGTCCGGCGCCAGCCGTCTGCGGAGCGCCATGGCGACGCCCAAGCTGCGGCTCGAGCCTCAGCTCGAGGCGGTGCTCTCTCGCTTCCGCGCCTCGACCAAAGGAGACGGCAGGCCAAAGGAGGAGGTGTCATCGCGGCTGGTGGAGGAGTTCGAGCGGCTGCAGAGCCGCAAGGTGCAGCGGGTCCTCCTCGTCTGCTCCGACTACGACTCGTACACCTTCGAGCAGGACGGGCTGCTCACGGAGCTGGTTGACGAGGAGTACGCCGAGAGCGGGCTGACCAAGCCGCCGACGATCGAGCGCGTCTCGACGCCGGAGGCGGCGCTCGCGCGGGTGCGCGCCGACCCGACCAACTTCGACATGATCATCACGCTCCTCCGCAGCGAGGGCCGCACGATGAACACGGGCGAGTTCGTCTCGTCGGTGCAGCAAGTCAACCCGGCGCTGCCGATCGGGCTGCTCGCGCTCTCGCCGTCGGAGCTGACGGCGATCGACTCGCGCATCGACCGCAACCTGCGCATCAACGTCAACAAGCGCCTCATGTGGGAGACTGGCGACGCCGCCCTCAAGGCGGGCACGGCGGCCGTCGACAGCCGCGCAGGCAGCTCCGCGCGCGTCGCAGACGCTTGGGTGTGGCCCTTTGTCTGGCAAGGGAACGTGTCGCTCTTCACCGCGATGTTCAAGGCGGTGGAGGACCGGCTCAACGCGGCCAACGACTCGGAGTACGGCGTCCAGTCCATCCT